AGCTTTTATAATCTAGTTCGGAAGTCATAATCTGCAAATGAAAAATAATCCCAAGTTTACCCTTAAAATAATAAGGATCGAACAATGAACAATTTTCCATTACAGGATTAATAATGCAATATCGAGCAAATAATGCATTTTATCCCATGAAACATCACTGGATTAATTTTCGAATATCCAAACATTTAATCCTCGTATCGAAATTAAACTGACGTGGGGTTGATTAATCTAATTAGTCTCTAGATGACCTTTGAAGCAGGTTAATAAGACCCCTTTTAGTAGCTTTTGTAAGATATTAATTGAATCATTAACAAAGCAAATTAAATTGGTTTCTAGAAGTTGATCGAACCTACATTAAAAAACAACATACGTTTGTTTGGACCGAAATTGAATATTTCAACTTTTGACTTGCTAAATAATTTTCATCCTAGTAGAAAAAATACAGTGTGATGTGGGCTACGAATTCTCTAATTTTCGAGGAAAATTCGTTTTGAGTGATTTTTCGACATAGGTATTATTAATTAGATCTTTACCAGCCATCAATCTAAATGCACTCGGTGTTTTTTTTTTTTTTTAAATCGCTTCCCTGTCAAAGCGAAACCGAACTAGATTGCATAGATATCGATCGGCCGAGTCTTTGAGTTTTGCTTTTAACGGCATTTTATTAAAAGCTGGAAGCACTGGGACATTAAATTCTGATAATGAGATATTCCGCAGTTCAAGTTTCATTAGAAAACCAGCTACAATATAATTTTCTTTTTCTCTGATGTTAAAATTATGGATTTCTAGAAGGAAAAGAGAAGTGTGTCTATTATGATAAAAATCGTCCCTTTTCTCGGATAATTTTTAGGTCAAGTGAGCTCCCTTGATAATATTACAAATCGATTTGTGTTAGTCATCAATTCATATTGGAAACACTAAACCACTATTGGCCGTAAAAAGTTTCTTGAAGTATCCAAATGAAAATGATAATTTTTTCCAAATAAATCAAGCTCGAGGGAACAAATTAATCCCCATTACTCGATCCCTGTTTCAGTACACGTAAAAGGCCTAACCTTTAAAGAGGCCGGTTAAATTAAACGCATCAGCAGCTGATGGAATTTCTTCCATGGCAGATAACCCCCGAAAAGGGTCTAGATAAGTGTCTTAAATACAGAAAAAAAAGTTGAGCTTAGCTCGAATAATTGTGATTGTTTTGTTAACTGGCTCAATTTTGTTTTTGCTGTCAAATCCATCCTAAAAAAATTGATAAATAAATGACCCCCGATAAATACTTGAGGTCAACAAGTGTTTAGTTGATACCTGGCTGCTGATGACAGAATAATTATTAATTGAAGTGTTTGCGGCTTACGACCTATAATTACTAGACGTCTGATCGTCGATCCCGTTTCAACACCTAAATTAATTTGTTATTGTTGCAATAATTTTGATTGGAAAATTCAAATATTAAAATCAATGGCATTATTGTTACATAATTTGTTGAATTACGATATCTCATCTTATTTCGCAAGTGATGAATCTTAGCTTAAGCTTCTAAAATCTTATATCGTATCATAGATAGGTAATTGAATATTTCAGTAAATCTTATTCTAGTATAATAACTCAATAAATAATAACGCACTTTAATTCCAAGACCCAACCCTTCTACAAAAAATCTTGTCACGTAAATATTTATATTTATTTTATTTATTTATTTTGTTTATTGCACTCTACATAATGTACTTAAACATTACAACTTACAGAGTACACTAAAATGTAGGATCTATAATAGATAGAGGTATATGCAGTATACATTGCTCTTAAATCTAAACCTAATGTTCCCATTATTATTAACTAAAAAAAAAAAAAAAGAAACAAAACAAAAGTGATTTCATAGATAGAGGAAAAACCAAATAAATAAGAAAAAATAGAATACCTGTGAGATTATTTCAATTTTCACAAAAATACATTGATTGCTAATGTTTTTACGGTTCTTATCCTAAGGTAATAAATATCAATGTGGCTAAAATATGAGTTGTACATTTTTTGCATTTGAGATATTGGGGAATTCACAGCATAATTTGTATTATAAAAGTTACAGTAAAATAAATCTGAGCATCGCAGTGACCTAGGCGGTGTATGTAAATTAATCAAATTTAACAATTGGGGACATGATATTACGTTCGTAAAAATTTTATGCAAAAACAACACATACGAAATACATCGCCTGGAGCTTAGTTTTAATATTTGAAGATATCGAAGTTTATGGTCGTAGGTAGAATATTTTATATTTGGATAAAATCTAAAAACTATATGATTTATAAACTTTTTTTGGATTGTTTCAATTCTATTTATGTATTTGTGATACATTGGATTCCAGACAATACATGAGTATTCCAAAACAGATCTGACCAGTGCATTATATAGCAAATTAATAGGTTTTGAGGATTTAAATTACTGGTTGCTCGCATGATAAATCCTAGATTTCTATAGGATTTGTTTACTATGGTTTCAATATGCTTTTCAAATGTCAATTTTGAATCCAGAATGACACCAAGGTCCTTAACAAAAGAGGTTCTTTTCAAATTTGCGTTGTTTATATTGTACGTGAATTTGGTAGTTTGCTTCAGCCGAGAAAAAGTAATTTGATAACATTTATCAGGATTTAGTTTTAGCTCGTTTTCCTCACAATAATTTGAAAATCTCTTTAAGTCGGACTGAAGCTGATGACAATCCGAGATATTTGTATGGCTTTGTATATTTTAAAGTCATCAGCGAACGCCGAAAACTTAGAAAACTTGAAACATTTGAACACATCACAGATCATGAGCGAAAAAAAGAGCGGTCCAAGGTGGGAACCTTGAGGAATCCCTGAGGTTATTTTACAAGGGTGTGAGTCAACGTTGTTGATTCTGACAAACTGATAACGATCTTCTTTTAAATAGGAAACAGTGAGGGCCAGCAAGGACCCATGCACACCAAGACTTTGTAGTTTATTAATAAGGATATTGTGCGAGATTTTATCGAACGCTTTAGTAAAGTCCGTATACAATGAGTCCCACCTGAGCCCCTCCTGACATAATTGTGCAAATGTCTTGGACATAAGTAATGAGATTTGTAGACGTAGACCTACCCTCGTAAAAACCATGCTGGTTTTCAGGAATATAATTTTTAACTCTAAAGAATAATTCTTTAGCCAGAATACCTTCAAAAATTTTTCCAAAAGTTGACAAAATTGAGATAGGACGATAATTACTCACATCATTTCTATTGCCTCCTTTGTGAATTGGCGTAATTTGAGCTAGTTTCCATTGAGTTGGATAGATCCCCTCTTTCAAACAAAGGTTGAACATTATATGTAACGGTTTTATTATTGCATTTTGACATTTTTTTATGAAAAAAGGTGGTATTTGATCTGGTCCCGCCCCTTTGTTCGCATCTATATGGTCAATTTGATTGTTGATTTGCTTTTCAGATATTGAATTTATTGTAATAGTTTCAAGGCTACTTTGACTAGTATTATTTCGATTATTTACTGTGGTTGAGCTCGGTTCAAAAACACTTGAAAAATATGTCGAAAAAGCCTGCGAGATACTTTCATTAGTATTGTAGGTAATATTGTTTAATGTAACTGAAGTAGGAAGTGTTTTAGCTTTGGATTTATTGGAGACAAAACTCCAAAAACTCTTGATGTTTGTTGATAGATTCTCCTCAGTATTTTCGACATATTTTTGGTAGTCGGTTTTTATAGATAATCTTAGTTGTTTTCTTAATCTGGAAAAAGTTGCGTAATCAGAATTATTCTGGTATTTTTTTCCATTTTTGATGATATTTATATTTATTTTTTATCAAGGACCTGGTGTCAGCAGAATACCAGGAAGGATATCTTGAAATAACTTGTTTTTTGGGAACCTTATTTGCTATTATTTGATTAATCTTTTCATAAAATAAATCAACTGAATTTTGCGCGGTAAGGTTCAGAAACATATTGCCCCCAATTGATGTTATTTATATTAGTAATTATTTCGTTATAATCAGCATAGTGGAATTTATATCTCTGATAGCCTGACTTATGCTTTAGCTCATTTCTTGATGGCAAATCCACGAGTATATCAACAGAAGTGTGATTGTAATCCTCCACTACAAATGGTGACAAGCACTTAGTCACCCTGATATTAGTAAGAGAGCTAAAAACAAGATCGAGAAATCTTCCTTTTTGATTAAAAATTCCATTATACTGATTAAAACCCAATATATTAAATGAGTCAATCAATATTTCACTATGGCGGTCCGATGCGTTGTTTGGCAAATAGTATTGTTCATTGTCATTTAGGGACCACTGAATATTAGTACGGTTATAGTCACCCAAAATTAAAAAATAGTCTCGACTATTAGAGCGAGTAATAGCACTTACATTATTTAGATGAGCTTCCAGGTTATTTTCAGTTGCATGTGGCGGTACATACGTGCAACAAATATTCATTGATATCGATACATTCATTGGAATGGACACCCACAAGTCCTCGCATATCCCAGCACAGCACCAATTGATTTTTTCAATTGCACATAGCTTTTTTTTCACTGCAATAATAACACCACCACCATCTTTCTTGCCACTCATGACAGGATTTCGATCTCTACGAAAAACATCGTATTCCCCACAATCAAACAATTCTGAGCTATTAATACTCTCATTTAACCACGATTCTGTGATGCATATGACATCAGCACTGGATGAGATACTTGATGTGTAAAAACTATGGGTCTTGGTCCTAAGACCACGGGCATTTTGATAGTATATTGAAAGTTGCATTGTTTTTACCATTTGCATCCACTTAAATCAAGATAGAATGGTTTTAGAATTATTGGCCGTTACGTATTTTATTTAATTTTTCCTCAGAATTGATTCTATGTACTTTATCATCATACTTGAGGTAAATTTGGCAATCTTTGGTCCAACACGGTGTCTTGCGGTGTTTTGCAAAGTCTCTAACGGACTTAAACAATGCTTTATTTTTTACCGTGAGGTGATCATTGATGTAAATGTTTCCATCTCCTGGGAGCCCAGCCTGATTTAGTTTCAGCCCTTGCTTATTTTTTATGGAGGCCAAAAGATCATTTTTTTCCTTGATGCTAATCATTTTAACAATAATGGAACGTGGATTTTTGTTATCTGGATCAATATGGGCAACCCGATGATAGGTTTCAAAGCAATTTTCAGGGATGTTTAAGGCCTTCAGGATGTTAACTAAAACAGATTGTAGATTTTCGCCAGATTTTTCCGGGATTCCATTTATTTCAACGTTATTCCTCCGTGCTTGTTGCTGGAGAAGCTCAATCTCCCTATTTGTTTTCTCTAGATCAGATGCAATAGTACTTACAGAATTTTCAAGTTTTGGAATCGCTTTGATCCTATTTTCAACCTCCGATATTCTCAAATTAAAATCATCTATCTTATTTCCATAATATTCTAACGATTTTTTGAACTCTTCCTGGTTTTTTCCTATATTTTCCAACCTTGAGTCCATTTTATTAAGCTTATCAAGAATTTTTCCTTGACCCCCCTGGTCAATATCACTTTTAGTAGAGCAAGAAGGACATCGGTAGACAAAATTATCCAGTTTGAGAAGCTCTGATGGAACAGCAGGTTGAACACAACTAGAGTGCCATAGTAATTTGCAAAAAATACATTTTACACAATTTCGGCCTGATACCCAAGAAGCAAATCGTGAGGACTTTTCCCTGTTGTCTTGTTAATTGACGAATTAATTCCAAATTTGATTTTATCGATATTTCGGTCCCAAGTGTCCTCTTCATCTACCGACGTAGCCAACGCTGATAAAATCGTACAGTTATACCGTTCAACTTGTCCATTTGCTCTTGGCGTTGCAGTGGCGTTGTAAACAGTTTTAATTCCCGTTCCGGATGTGTATTTTTTGAACTCCTGGCTAGTAAAAGCTGTTCCTCGGTCACAAATAATGCCTCGGGGAACCCCAAATATATTAAATATTACTTTAAGGAATGTAATTACAGGCAAACTTTTAGTACTTTTCACCGCTTTCATGAAAACATATTTTGTGAAGGCGTCAACGGAAACTATAAGGTACATGTTTCCTTGCTTACTCTTCACGAATGGCTCCAAATGGTCTATGTGTATCGTGTCCATTGGAGCGGCTATTTTCGGTATAGGATGTGAAAATCCAGCCTGCGGTCCCCCACTGCGTTTGTTGAACAAACAGTTTAAGCAACAGCGTATATAGCGAGTCACATATTTGCGTATTCGTGGGAACCAATAATTTCTTTCAATTAGGGATAACGTTTTGTTTGTCCAGCTTGATCATGACAAAAGGATGTCACCGCATGACGGTCTGTCTTCGGTACCACCCATCGAAGACCTTGACTTGTTTTCCGGTATATTTTGTTATTCTGAAGTTCGTATTCCTTATGTATCAACGATTCTTCTTGATCTGAGTAGTACATCACTCAAATAGCGACATCGATCGTCCTGAAGTTGAGCCGTTAAAACCCAATCGCTCTCAGAAATATTTATCGTCAGGATCTGGGCGTCATTACCTTCTCTAGAATTCTCTGTAGGATTCCGGCTTAGGGCATCTACATGTGCCATTCGTACACCTGGGCGATATTCTATTGTAAAATTAAATTCTTGCGTTATCATCCACCAACGTCCAATTTTGGGAATAAAATCTCTCTTGGTCATAGTTGATCGTATCGCATTGCAGTCAGTCACGATTTTAAAAGGTATACACAATAATAAGTAGACGCGAAACCGTTGCATAGATTGTACCACAGCCATCGTTTCCAGCTCGTAAGAGTGATAGCGCTGTTCCTTTTTGCTCGTTTGTTTACTGAAGTAAAGAACTGGTTTCAGCTTGCTATCTGAGTTCAGTCTCATATTTGGGGTGGTAAATTGCAAGTACGGGTCGGGTGCACAGAGTATCCTTGAGACAGTTAAAGGCATGATGCAGTTGAAATTTCCAAGTGAACTCTACATTCTTCTTAGTGAGCTGTGTTAGTGGTCGTGCAATAAGTGCAAAATTCTTAACATATTTACGAAAGTAGCTGGCTAAACCCAAGAACTGACGTATTTCATGTTCATTTTTCGGAACAGGGAAATTCCTAACGGCTGAAATTTTCCCCGATGCTGGACGTACGCCTCCCTCGCTTATTTCGTGTCCCAAATATTCGATAGACTTTCTAAAGAAATGACACTTTGATAATCGCAACGTTAAACCCACATGCTCAAATAATTTAAGAATTGTTTCCAGAGCTTCCAAGCCAGATGGAATATCAGTGGAAGGTAGTAAAAAATCATCTAGATAGGCTAGCGCAATAGTAAATCTTAGAGATCCCAACACCTGATTGACAGTCCTTTGAAAAACGGAAGGGGCGTTAACTAATCCAAAAGGCATTCTTCAGTATTCATAATGCCCATCTGGTGTAATGAAAGCGGTTTTCGCTATGGATTCTTTTTCCATAGGAATTTGATGGTATCCTCTTGCCATATCAAGTGTCGTAAAATAGCGGCTGTTTTTCAATCGTTCTAGGAAGGGGGTAGCAATCTTTGATTGTTTTCTGATTCAAAGCTCTATAATCCACACACATCCTGCTCGTTTCATCTTTCTTTTTAACCAGCAATATCGGGCTAGCGTAAGGGGAATTTGACTCTTGAATTATACCAACTTTCAAAAGATCTTGTACAATGTCGCGAACCAAGTGTCGTTCACTCAATGAAAGACGGTAAGGTCGATATGTTACGGGCCGATCATCGTTCACCCGGATTTTCATTTCCACTCCTTTGATACAACCTAATTCATCTAATTTTTCGGCAAAACAGTGGCGATATAAAGTAATACCAGCAATTCCTGTTTTTCAGTATCACTTATAGTTGGGGAGCTGGCATCAAAAACATGCAAGAATTTTCTCAAGGCTGATATTTTCAAAATAGGTCGTACTTTAGTGTTAGAAGGCAAGTGTACAGTCAGCACTCACAGTTCCGTGACAGCTGGCCCTAAGACGCGGGCAAATTTGTAATTTTAAGAAGCATCTAAACTATTTTCTCAAAGCTCAAAATTTATAAATATTTTGCACATTATCTGTTTGAAGGTCACAGATAATGTATGTAAATCGTCAGACGTCTAGTTCGTTGCAAAAAGGGGGCCAGACGTCCTCAAAGTTTTTATTTTATGGCATTTTCTTCAAATATATTTGTCAAATACCTGCAAAAATATATTTTGACAGGACACCGACCGAAGAAAATGCCATAAAATAAAAACTTTGAGGGCGTCTGACACCCTTTCCGCAGCGACCTAGACGTCTGACGATTTACACACGTTATCTGTGACCTTCAAACAGATAATGTGCAAAATTTCTATTAATTTTGAGATTTGAGGAAACAGATACATCTTAAAATAACAACTTTGCTCGCGTCCCAATTCCAGCTGTCCCGGAACTGTAAGTGCTGACTGTACACTAGCCTTTTATGACTAAAGTACGACCTATTTTGAAAATATCAGCCTTCAGAAAACTCTTGCATGTTTTCGACGCAACCTCCTGGACTATTAGAGATAAATCATAATCAAGATCATCTAGGTTAAATTTTCGACAATTTTCAGCGTTAATGTTAAGTATTCTTACCTCATGTTCGGTGCAGAAGCTGTTCGGATAGCACACCTCGCCTCTAGCGATCGTCTGTGAAGCCTCAAATGTCAAGTCACGATCAGACATATTGAAAACTTCTCTCAGTAGAAACAACACAGCTGGGAATGGTATATTCCATGGATGGTACCAGGCGGCGTTGAAAATCCACAAAAAGTTCGCGTTGCTGGTCGTTTTCAGTATAAAAACTCACATGATCTATGTGATTCGGTGGAATCGTCACCTTTTTATCAACGCATATTTTCACTTTACTGGGTGGGAGATGGTCTACTTCTGTTAGCGGCAACAAATCTGCTTCAAACAGTCGTATTTGTTTGTCTTTGATGACCACAACAACATCGGTATGGTTTAAGACAGTTTGTCCAATCATAACAGACACATACTTGACTTGTTACGTTCAAATTTTGCCTTAACGTAACTGAAGATTTCGAATGAATTCGGTAATTAATTCAGGTATTTGTGAGGGTATTTATAAAGCTGTATACCTGGGGATTAATATTTTTCAGTAATTGATAGGTTGCTCATTGAATTTTGCTAGTTTTCTACCTTTTTGTTTGGATTCGAAGCAATATCTAGTTGTTGAACAAGGGTATATTTTTCGAGGTAATAATGAGTGTATTCAGATGACAGGGCAGTTTTAGGATAATAAAGCCCTACTGTTAGGATAGGAATCCATTTTATTTAGCTTAGGAAAGTCGTCTAAAAGGCCCTAAATGTCGGTGAAAAGGTTTGTTTACTTTCAAATAAATATCAATTTTCAACACTTACGAGTCACGTAATTTCCATTATTAAAAATTCTGCAACAACACAAATCACTTTCGCACCCTTTAAATCGATTTTCCACTATTTTTCATATTTTTCGGTTGTTTAGTTTCCTCAAAATATAGTGGGGTTATAAGACACTTGTGGATTCGTTTCAGGCAGCACTGTTGCCGACGTTCCTTGATCGCGGTGGGTAATAGAGTCACTGTAGTTGTGATCCCTAAAGAGTCACTGATCATTTTGATAGTTTTTAGACTGGAGACTGGGTAGATGTTGATTAATAACTTCTATAAGAAATTAATTAGTGTTAATTGGTATTGAGAGAGAAAATTTGATAACAATTCTGAGTTTTGTTGGTCATCAATGTGATTTAGGTTGTTCCGTTTCAAGCTGTTTGTTCCGTTTTACTGGTCAAGACCGGAAATCTGCCACCAGAGGGCATCTTGAAAAAAAACTGGAATTCTAGAACATTTTTCAGCTTGAGCTCACCTAATACATCGCTGGAAAAGAATCGTTCTCTTTTAAATTCGCACGTTGAGCAAACAACAAGTTCTTTGGGAGATTTTACCAGCAGTCCTTCCTGGCTACGTTCCTTGGAACATCCACCTTTTTGTGGGATTTTGAAGACGCTGGGAACTCAAAGTAGTTGCTGGCTTAAATTGGTTTTGGGGTGAAAGCTTTGGATTTGGTCGTAAGTCCCCGTATTTGTAAGCCAACCACACAGAATTTCCTGGAAACGAAGTCTACGCCATTTTGTTGGTTTGTCGTGTGAAGGACAGAGCACGTTTTGTTCAACTAGAAGCCCTAATTGTAACCAGGTTTTTAGTTTGGATTTAACCTTTACCATTGGGTTTTTCCTCTTTGACGGTTTGCTAGTCTCGAAGTTGAGGTGTCAAAGTACCCAAATTGCTGAACTTGAAACCGTAATTTATTTTAACAAAGGAAGTCAATAGAAGTTGATGTTGATGGGGTCTGTTATCCAGGCTGTAAGGCTGTCAGGAGACAGTTATAGAAATGGGTGTTTAGACTGCCGGGAGGACCAAAAGGGGTGATGTACCCGTAAATTCATTAATGTTTCTTAGTTATTATT